AGAATTCAAATTCTAACTTAGGCACACTGATTCCTTAGTCCAGGCTCATTAACTACCACAACCACCACCTCCTTCCATACTTAGAACTGATTATCTACCTCCTGTCAAAGAGATCCTCACAACTAATTCCATTATGTGTTCAGCCCTTGCAAATGATGGCTTTTAGTAGGTGTTGTTCTTGCTCCTCAGTGCTGTTTGTAGTGCCCCACCCCTGTGCTTCTCATGTCAGTAGATTTTATCACCTGTTGTGTCTTCTTGTTGCAATCATACCAATCAGTCCCCCTCATTTATTTTAGATTTTAGCACCTTAAATACTATCTTTTTTTCCAGGAATGTTCACCATTTTGGCAGTCCCAGTATCCACATAAATAATCCCTGTGGCCTCTTGAATTCCTTGATCTCGTCTCTCCAGTGATCCTTCATACCATTTTAGACTTTTTATTTATTGATAACTATATCATTTCTTAGATTTCAGTTTCAAGCATCCAATTCTGTGACCACCACTGATCTCTCTTCCCAGCTTATTCTCTCTAATACCCAACTCCAACAATTTTGGGATAGTCATCAGGAATTCCATGTCACTGACCTCCATTCCTTTTCACCCTCATCATGTCTTCATTTTTATTAACCTAGCTTAGATACATGATGTATTGTTATAACAACCGCTTTCAACCCCTGACATATTCTACCTGATTAAAGCCAACGTTCTACCTACTTTGTACCTAAACAGCCAGATGAGGCCAGAGAAAAACCTACTCTTCTGACTAGTTTCACTTTAAAACTATTTGTGGCCACAAGTCTTCAGTGCTATCTGCAGTCTTAGTTGATTCACTCTTCTTCTTCAAACCTTGAAAAACCTTCCCTTTTAAGTTGATGGTGTTTATTTTACTAAAAAACAAAAAGCTAGAAAAGAGACTTTATACTCTCCTTGCTATTAGCAAATGTACAAGCCCAAAACAGAGCAATTTTAGTAGAATGTTGGGAGCAAAAGCCAACTTTTCAGGGACTAAAATGTGAGTAGGTCATAAGAAGATAGACACTGATGTTTCCCTAGGTGTGTCACTGGAATGCTGGCTCTGTTAAATGAATCTTGCCCAATAACAGGTTCACCGGCTAAATTTGGGAAATGCCAAAAACTATATATAGTCTGAATCTATCTACCTTTCTAACTATATCTGATGTTCTGGTACAGGGACAAGGAGGGATGAATAAAATTATGGGTAGAAAGTTCATTGGCCTAGATTTTACTGAAGCATTGGTTTTCAGACTTTAGCCTACTTCAGAGTAACCTGGAGGGCTTGGTAAAACAGTGCTGGGTATCACCTAGAGGTACCGAATTCATAGGTCTTTGATGGCTCCTGAAAATTTTCATTCCCAACAAGTTCTTAGGTAACAGTGATGCTAACTCATCCAGGGAATTGGGGAATCACATTTTGAGAGCCACTTGAGAAAGAATTCAACTGCCCAAAGTGTCAGGAATATATAGGATTTAGAGCCACATAGGAAATAGCTGCTGTGGGGTAACAAACATAGTAGGAAATTAGAGCTGATTGATAACATTGAGGAACTTCGACAGTGAGAAAGCATGAATTTGTAGTGGACCCAATCAGCTATTTTTAATGACTTTCTCTACCAGTCTGACCTGTCAGAGAGCAGGAACAGAACCACAATAGTTAGTACAGAATTTTGTGTGAATCAAATATCTATAAAGTTTACCATTAAGCCCTCTATCTTAGCCATGTATTACCATTATGAGTGCCAAGATGGAAACTCTGTGATCTGTCTGCAGTCAGCCCATCTCCTTCATTTATTTATTTGTATGCTTATTATTTATTCATTTATTTTTAGTTTTAAAAGTTGTATAATGGTAGTTAGTACGGGTTTTGGAATGCAGAGACTAAATGTTACAAAGTGTCCTTAACTAATTTTATCAGTTACAGTTAATAGGTTTATGGCTTTGGGTGGATCACAACCATGTCTCGTTTTCTCATTTGAGAAATTTTAGAATAGAAAAATTAGAAACTTCCAGTCCTCTCTTTATGAATGTAATTGTAAAGCCACAGAATCTTTAAAAATTATATTTTGGAAGAATTGTTAGTTAAGTTTCTGCTTAAGGAGAGTCTTATGTAGTTGTTTCTAAGTGGCTAAATATTTATTGGACAACTGGGCCTCTTCAAGATTCATAGTATTTCTGGCAGTAAGTTGTATTACTATTCCGGAATGACTGTACTTGTCAGACTTTGCCACAAAAATATTTTTATCATGGGATTGTGCCTTAACCTAGGCCTTACATGTGTCAGCTGTTTCTGCCTTATGAGTTTATCTGCACTGGAATAGAAGGGAACCAAAAGAAATGTTGTTTTGGAACTTGTTTGTTCTTCCTCTGGTATTTTCTGTCCTTCCTCTTATCTCTTATTTCTCCCTTACCCAGTTCAGTACTGAGCAGGTAAAATTGAGAAGGATGCTTTTCCTTCTCTCATTTCTTAAATATTTGTTGGGCTCTTTGAAACCAGATACTGTGTTCTCTTCACAGTGTCATAATTGGTTATTCTTTAAAATAATATAATTTGGGAAAATCATGGACTTGTTTTTGATAATTTTACTGAAGAATACTTGATTACAGTAACTTGTGCATGTTTAAAGTGCACAATCTGGCAAGTTTGACTTGTATATACCATGAAACCACCACCACAGTAACAAGATAACATACATTTTCATTATCCTCAAGAGTTTCCCTGTGCCCCTTTGTAATGAATCCACTGATCCACATTTTATTGCTATAGATAAGTTTATGTTTTTTGAAATTTAAAACGAATAGAATTATACAATGTATACTTTTGGGGGAGGCAGACTTCCCTCAATATAATGATCTTGAGGTTTGTAGCTCCATAAATTAATATTGTCATATTAAAGACAGAAATTATCTCAGGAGTTTTGCAAGGCCTTGGCCTAAAGAAATATGTGAACATGTTAGTTTACATATCAAAGACTGTCCCCCTCTAGAGGGTGTCTCAAAAGTCCTTCAGCAGCTGCTTTGCAGGGTGACACTGCAGTCTCAAACCTGTGGTTTTTGCCTCCTTTAAATGACAGAGCATGTCTACATGGAGCCAAGGGATAAGAGCTGATCAAAGAGTACTCAACCAAGAAACAAACACCTGTGACTAAAAACAATTAGCCCAAAAAACAGTTCCTACTTGACTTGTAACTTCTTGTCTCCATCCACAATAACCAAATAAAAAGCATGGAGCCACTATATCTCTGTGTAACCTTTCTATTAAGGGATAACTATATCTTGAAACTTAAAAATTTGTCTTTAAAAATTTTTGTAACCATTTATTCACATAAAATTAATTTTAAAAAATCTATACAAGCCTTTTAAAAAACTTTTAACCTAAAATAAACTATCTATTATTATATTAATCTATTACCCTTGACAACCAATGTCTATACCTATAAATACCTATATAAAACTTCACAATTGACAAAAATATTGTGGAGTCCCCCAAATACTCCCACTTTACTTTTTCTTTATATAAATCTATAAAATTATACCTTCATCTCTAATATTTTTTTATTTTGCTATTTTATTATTTTCTTATCTTTTATGACCCCTACCTAAGAGACCCAATTTTTACTGGGAATATAACTAACTCCCCACAGAGGTTTATTCATGTTGTTTCTTGCAGCAATATTTCCTTTTCATTGCTGAATAATGTCTTATTTTGGATATTTCACTATTGGTTTATCCATTCTTCTGTTTATGGACATTTGAGTTATTTCCAGTTTGGGGTTATTGTCAGTAAAGCTGCTACAAATATTTGTGTACAATCTGAGTGTGGAAAAGCACTTTAGTTTTTCTTGGGTAAATACCTAGAAGTAGAATGGCTGGCTTATATGCTAGATTATGTTTAACTTTTAAGAAACTGTCTGTTTTCCAAAGTAGTTGTACCACTTACATGCTCCAGTTCCAGTTGCACCATATTGTAACCAACACATGGTGTGGTCACTCTTTATTTTTATCTTTTCTAAAAATATATGAGTGTCTATGTTGTGAGGTCTCACTGTCATTTTAATTTGTATTTTCTACGTGACTAAAGTTGGTGGGCTGCTTATGTCTTCTTTGGTGAAGTATCTGTCCAAATGTTTTGCCACCTCTTTAAAAAAAGTATTGGATTATCTGTCTTTTTGGTGATTGAGTTGTAGAATTTCGTTATATATTCTGGATTCAAATTATTTCAAGTTCTTACATATTTTGCAAATACTTCTTATCCATTGGTGGCTTACCTTTCTATATTTTTTTCTCTCTTTTTTTCGTAGAGCAAACATTTTTAATTTTGATGAAGTCACTTTATCAGTATTTTTTCTTTATTTTGTGCTTTGTGTCCTGTTTCAGGTGTGCATCACTTTATTTCTCTTCTGATTTTTCTAAAAAGTTAGAAAATCCAATTTTTTAAGCTATTGGACAGAAAAAGCACAGGAGACTATAAAGCTAGAGTTGTATCTGCCTTGTATTTGTGTTTATTGTTATACTTTAATAGAAATTATTTATGATTCTGCTACTTCTGATTTTTTATTAATTTATTTTTTTAACTTGTTAAAGGGCCTGTAAAATTGCCCTTACCCATAAAACAGAGGTTCAGTTTCTCTTTTATGGGTAAGGCAATTGAGATTCATACAGGTTACATGACTTCACTAATAGTTTATAATTTATGATCATGCCGAGACCACAGAAAAACCCAGGTCCTCTCAAATCCCGTTTCACTATTCATTTCCCTATGAAGTACTTTTCCTTATGATTCTGTTGCAAATTTTACTGCATTCTACAAGATATTAAAATAAATTTAGTCCCTTTATTTCTGATTATAATAAATATCCACATTGAAAGCAATATCATTAAAATTACTAAGTAGATTAGTTTTCTGGAGAAATAATTTTTCCTTAAAATTTCATTAAGTGAAGATACTGAATTTAACACTTTTTTTTTTTAATTCTTTTCCAAGGTCTGTAAACAGATTTGGCTAGGATTATTTGATGATAGATCTTCAGCAATTCCAGACTTCAGGGATCCACAAAAAGTGAAAGAGTTTCTACAAGAGAAATATGAAAAGAAAAGATGGTGAGTGAATAGTTTGTATTTAGAGTAAAGCCTCCCAAAATCACATTAATTATAGGTAAGGTTAGTCTGACACAATGAAGGACAGAAGGCAGGAAGGAAGGAACTAAATAGGGAGATAGGTAGGTAGACATGCGTTATCCTTTGGCTTTTTATTGGATTTGGTTACCAAAAACATTTACTTCCTACTTTATCTTTTTCTTTTTTCTCAAACAGGGCTGCTGCGAAACTTCTGCTTTATCTTAACTCATCTGCCTAGCAGCAGCCTTTTTACTGTATTTATCAGGCCTTCTACCATTTTTAAAAAGTTAGGGGTCCTTCCTTCTAACCCTTCATAGTCCTGTTATCTTCTGTAGAGATTTTTAGACCTACAAAGCCTCCTTTTAAATCTTTGTTCACTTACCAAATATTTATTAAGTAGTATCTTCTATATACAACGCATTATGCTGAAGCTCTGGTGTAGTAATAACTTAATTGTATCTTGCAGTAAGTTTTCATTCAAAATATCCCTTACTTCCCACCTAACAAATCAGTTTACTACGTGGTTAAGAAGGGTTTCTTGATATTCCCCCTAACTAAATCTGTCAGATATTAATTTTTTAAAAATAATTCCAACAAGTTATACATATAGTTAGCCCCTAAAGCAGAGCAGAGACTGTATCCATAGAGCTAATGTTCAGCTAAGTTGGGCTCTTCATTTTTAGCTATATGAGCATAATTGAAATATATCTCAGACTTATTAATTATGAAATCTTTTGGTTGTTTCTTTATCAGTATTGAACAGTGTATGTTTACTTCTTGAGAGGTTAAGAAGATGGGTCAGAGAGTCACAAATAGAGAGAATAGATAATGGGGAAGTAAACAACCTCTTATTTCCCCAAGGAAATGTATTATAACCCAGAGAATGATATATTCAGAGCCTATTTTGGTCTTGAGGGAACACTTGGCTGTGGTTTGTGGGAGAGAGGTCTTACTCAGTGAGCATGTTAGCTCTGACTTCTCCGTCAAAATTTATATTTCTATTACTCTCTAAAATAGACTGTTTTGTGAGACAAGATCAGCCAGGGCTATATGCAGCTGCACTAGAGAGATATTAGGAATGAATATAGATAAAAATACAGCAGTGAAATTTATGTTTAGGAGGGAAAAAACTATTAGAAGGTAAGATGATTTTTATAATACAGTACATTATAATAATTATATATTATAATAGTACAACATAGTAGCATAAATGATTCTTTTAAAGTGATAAGTATAATATTCCTTTTACCATTTTAATTCTTAATTTACTAGACCTTCTGTCTTGTAGATAATTCTGTTCTCCTTGCATAAGCCTAACATAATTTTTGGTTTTCTCTGTTGTGTTACTTTTACCAGTTGAAAAAGTCAGTTTGATTAGGGCTTAGCTGGGATTTTAGATAGGTTAGCTCTAGCTATCAAGAGAAAAATAAGTGTGAGTAACAGTTGATAGAATTAAAACCATAGATCACATTTATAACAATTAATATTTATTTATTTATTTATTTAGACAGAGTCTCACTCTGTTTCTGGGGCTAAAGTGTCCTGGCGTCAGCCTAGCTCACAGCAACCTCAAACTCTTGGGCTCAAGCAAGCCTTCTGCCTCAGCCTCCGGAGTAGCTGGGACTATAGGCATATGCCACGATGCCCGGCTAATTTCTTTTTCTATGTATATTTTTAGTTGGCCAATTAATTTCTTTCTATTTTTAGTATAGACCGGGGTCTTGCTCTTGCTCAGGCTGGTTTTGAACTCCTGACCTTGAGCGATCCACCCGCCTTGGCCTCCCAAAGTACTAAGATTACAGGCGTGAGCCACTGCGTCCAGCCTCAGTTAATATATTATTAATTCAAACTATAACCCAAATAACTAGAAGCCTCTAATAATTATAATTTGTTTTAAATGTTCCTTTCCTGAGAAACAGGATACAAACCTTTAAGTGGTTAATGGGGGGGGGTGACCATCATTGAAGAGAGCCAGGACCTGTACATTTTTAATCAAAACTCCTGCACACCTATAACATTTATCTAGGAAGCAATGAAATGGGTTTTTAACATGGTATAGGCAATATCCAAATGTTGTCTCCCTAAATTACTCACTGTAGGGAAACTACATTTAATAGTACTGATGGTATTGTCATCCAATGGGATTTTGAAATTGTTCTTTTGACTAGTTCTTAAAATCACTTCCTATCTTATATAAGATTAGCTCCTTTGTCAGATGAATCTTCTGAACCAATAACTATTACCTGGTTTTATCTTTTGATAAGACTTGGCAATACTAAAGAATTTATGTCATCAGTGGTATGCCAAATTATGGGAAAGCATAATTTCGTATATTCGTTCTCATATCTCTTGTCCTTTTCCCATTTGTTGAAGAAGAGCAATTTTATTATTTGTGATTATTATGTAGTTTGATAACAGCTAACATTTATGTAGTTAAAGTCTGTACCAAGAATTGTGTTTACAAATGTTAACTTGTTTAAGCCTCACAACAACCCTATCTCCATTTTATAGATGGAAAAATGGAAGCGTGAAGAGTTGAAGTAGTTTGCCCAAGGTTTTATAGACATTGAGTGGTAGAGCTGGGATTTCAACTGTGTCTTGGACTAGATGGTCTTAACCATTCTTGTTTTTCTACTTGCTCCACCTGCTTGATATGGGGAGTCATAAGGAGGGTAGGAGAAAACTCAGAATTATAGAGAGCAATAGGCTGTCACATAATCCTACTTAGCATTGATGATATTTGGGCATTATATCCTTACTACCTCTCTTTCCTTCCTTCGCTCCCTGTTCCCATGAATCCTGTATTTACAAGACTGAGATCAAACCTGAAAGACCTGTAAAGTTTTATGGGCATCTTTCCTCATCAAAGCTGAGTAGCTATGTAGTATTATATTATACAAAGTTTAACATAGCCCCTTTAAATATTTTTCTCCTGATAGATTTGGGTTTATTTCCCAGGTTTTTTTTTTAAATTATAGATACTATGGTAACATCCATGTGTACATGTATCTGTGTATACCCATCCAATACTTAAGGATAAGTTTCTAGAATTGCTGCTTCTGGGGTGGGCACAGAACATACCTATTTATATATTTCTGTAGATAGCAATAGAACATCTGTAAAGTTCACACTCAGATCAAATGTGATTGAAACCTTAAATTGCATTTGTTAGCTTATAAGTGTTTTCATTTCTCTATCTCCTACGATTGCTTCTTCTGTCCATTTTAAAATGGCATTGTTGATCTTATAGATACGGGTTTTTTTTGCTGATCGTGAAGCAGTGAAGATTATTCTTATTAATATAATAGGCCTTTATATTTTAAGCTATTAACTATAATAAATGTTTCCCTACCATCTGATCTGTTTCTGAATGTTATTTATGCTCGTAAGATATTTTTGTTTTTAAAAATTAAAGTACAGTATTCACTACTCATCGTGATGATTAACTGTAGGTCCTTTGTGGTTTAAAAAAAGCAATTATATTGTATTTATTATCTTAAAAAAATCATAAGTAAATAATTGAAACACATTTGGTGATTAGTCTTTATTACTCTTTCTGAGTATTTCAATTAAGTGTAGTCTTAAGACATCAATTCTGAGTGAGAGGGTTTTTAGATAAGATTAATGTTGAAGCAATCTTTTACAAAATTAGAATTGAACATATTTTTTAGTATAGAATTCCCTACAGTTTTCTTAGTTAACGGATTTTCACATGTTTTAGGTATGTCCCGCCAGAACAAGCCAAAGTGGTGGCATCAGTTCATGCATCTATTTCAGGGTCCTCTGCCAGTAGCACAAGCAGCACACCTGAGGTCAAACCACTGAAATCTCTTTTAGGAGATTCTGCACCAGCACTGCACTTAAATAAGGGCACACCTAGTCAGGTGAGTAGTCTTTAAATCTTTGTAGGAACTTCTACTTAAGGGGGATTGAGTATCAAGAATTTGATAAATCTTTAATTCTTGTACGCCAGTAGCATTATGTCCTCATGGTTTATAATACATTAAAAGATTATTGGTTAAGTGGTTGAAATGTGTATATTTTGTTCTTTTTGCTGTTGGTGATGAGTTTGACTTCTCTGCAGCTTTCTGAAGGTATACAGGAATGCTGCTGTGTAGCTACCTGTCCTACATTATACAATTAGTAAAACATGCATCTTTGGTGACCATGACAGTTAGAACAGTATAGCCTCTGTGATGTACTTTTACAGGAAGGGATTTCTTAAGCAGTAAAATTTTCCTACATGCCTGATTATGAAGCATGTTTAACATTGAAACACAGGTGGCTTTGCATTATACCTTATTCTAAAAAAGTGTTTTTATAAGTTGGCACCTAAAGTTTGTACTTCTGTGCTTCATCGCAGTTGACAGAGTTGTGACAGATCTGTTTCTGTGTTACATTGCAACCTCTATACAAGAATGGTTCTGAGGTGTAGTACCGTGGATTAAAATCCTACCCTTTTCAATAACGCATACTAGGGCTTCTGGATAAATTGCTCTGTTTACCAAAAAGTTTGAGTGAAAAAATGAAGAGAGGGGTTAGGTTAGTGTACAGTAACTCTTCCTGTGTAAATGTGTTTCAAGTTTGGTGTATTGAAGATAGTTTTTTATTAAAATTTTGCAGATCTGACTTGGAAAATCTATATAGATAATATGTGGTTTATAGTCCCCAGTTGTAGGTCGCTCTCAAGGGCAGCAGCAGGAAAAGAAGCAGTTTGACCTTTTGAGTGATCTTGGCTCAGACATCTTTGCTGCTCCAGCTCCTCAGTCAACAGCTACTGCCAATTTTGCTAACTTTGCACATTTCAACAGTCATGCAGGTAAGTGTTTTCTCCCAAAAGCTTTTGCCAAGGCTGTGTATGAAGCACCAAGAAACATCCATTCTTCATTAAACTTAAGTATATGTAAACATATTCTGTTGAGGCTGTTTGGTTACCCATAACTTTTTTCCCCACACCTAACTGTTAATGTATAATAGAGAACCACATAACTGTGGTGCTTTTTAATCACAGAGGAGGTTTGATTTTATGTCAGCTGTTGACATGACCTCTTTCCACAGAAAAATGGGGAAGGCTTTAATGTATAATTTTTTTTGCCCCTTTATTTTGGAAAATTACAGATATTCAAAAGTACCTAGATAATACAATCTTTAAGCCACTCATGGACAATCTTATGTGTCATTCCACCCACTCACTTTTTTTTGAAGCAAATTTTTGACAGAGTATTAGTTTGTGCTTAAATATTATGTATCTATCTCTATAAAGCAGATGGGTTTTTCTTTGTTAAACATAACCATGGTAGTATTGGCACACCCTAAATAATAGTTGTAATAATAATTCATTAGTCAGCATTTGAATTTTCATTCCAAAAATTTTTTCCACATGTATATACATACACACATACATACATACAATTTATTTGAATCAGATTTCAAATAAGGTCCATACATTACAATTGTGAGATATGTCTCTTTGGTCTTAGTCTATAAGTTCTTCCTCCATCGCTTTTTATCTCCTGTATAATTTTTTGTTAAAGAAACTAGGTTATTTGTCCTATAGGGCTTTCAGTAGCCTGAATATGTTGATTGCACTACTGCGGCACCATTTAACAAGTTCCTCTCTTCTTTGTATTTCTTGTAAATTGGTTGTTAGATGTAGAGTCTTGATCAATTACAACTTCTTCATGTCTGGGGGGGTTGTGGATAGGAAACATGCCTACTATAATAGGGTTTAAGAGACGCATAATTTTGGATTGTCTTCTCTTTTTATAATGTTAGCTGTTGATGCTTAGTGTCTGGGTTCACTATATAAAATGATAATATTCTAAATTTATCCCTTCATTTATCAGATAAAATACTTACTTAAATATCTTTGATTATCCTGAGGCATGATTTGTATAGGAAAGTCAGAATACATGGTTTATTTTTTTCAGTCAGATATCAGAATAATGAGTTGATTTTACTAGCATTTTCAGTGGTGACTTTTTCCCCCTGGTATCATTATGACTTTATGGATTTAAACATTTGCTACATTCCAATTTATTGTCATTATTCTTATTAGTGCTCAGATTATCCCATTTTTGGAGCACCTTCAGGTTGGTTCCTGAAGATGTAACTCTGTTTTGATAACTCTTACAGTGTTTAAACAACCAGCACCCCACCCCCATTCACAGATTTAACATGTTTGTTAAAAGAATTTAATGCACTTCACCAGAAATTACAAATCATGGAGTTTTAGTTTGTTTAAAAGTATATAAACCTTGCAGAGTTACCTAGGTAATATTTGAAAATTTATGATTGAAGTGTAGGTTTAGTCATTTGTCTCTCCTTGATTGTAATGGCAACAGTCTAATGGACAGGGAAGTGGCATAATGTAGTGTAAACGTGGGCTTTGGAGTTGGGACAACCTGGCTTCAAATGCCCACTTTGTCACTTATTATCTATACCTTGGCAAATTACTTAACATTTCTAAATTTTCTATTTTATTAATTGGCTTTGATAACTTTCTAAGTGATAGGTTCAAATGAGGTGTTGCATTTACAGGGTTTAGCATCGAAATATTATTTCTCTTTTCTCTCTTTTTCACATCTTCCCCATATATGTATGTGTGTGTGTGTATTATATATTACACACACACACATATACACACACACACTTATGTATGTGTATTTATATGTATACCGATATGCATTTAACAAAAAAGATCGTAGTTTTTGTTCTGTTTTAATCTTTGGATCTTAACTAAGATCCCCCAATGGTTTAAGATTCATTTCCTAACAGCTTGGTACTATTTTGAGTTTTTACAGTTATTTATTTATGCTTCAACAGTCTAAAAGCATACATTGTACTTATACTGGAAATATGTGTGGAAATGTATGTGGAAATGTTAAAACTGTATGCGTGATTCAAAGCATATCTGTCAGAGGAGTTTGCTGAGGGCTCCCAGTTTGCCTCCTATGGTCTCTCTGTTTATCTTCCTCTCATGAGTATCTGTTTCTCACTGAAGAGGAAAGACAACTGTCAGCAAGACTCAGTCTCATTAACTTGGTGTCTTGAATTCCAAACTGAAGTGATTCCTTTGTATTTTTTGAAATATTATTTAAGAAACATCTTTACTATTTTGTCACATTCTGTTCAGTTTGGATTTCTTTGTACAGAGATTGCTCAAGGGTCCAGATATTAATTTCTGTATTATTGAATTTATTACAATTTAATTTTCAAAGTTGTGTTTTCTAAAGTTTCATTTTGTAGCACTTATAACCAATTATTGAAGATAGCAAATAGATTCAGTACCTAGAAGAAAAAACTGGTACAAGTATAATACTACAAAGCCATTTCTTGCCATATTGAATAAGTAAGTATTTGATTGATGTGTTGGGGCTTGGTTGGAAAACACTAGGAAAATATAAATGTGATAAAAAATGGGCTTGACTAACCAAATAGTTTGTGTTGAACTGATTTTTTCTTTGATGGTGTTTGAAACATGTTAAATGTAGATTTCCCCCATGATGTTCCAAATATAAGTTAAATGTACTAGTAGACTGTATATTATTATCTACTACCCATTCATATATGTTTTGAGATATAAGCTATAAATTAGCTTAGGGACCTAATTCCCATTTCTACAAGGGACAAATGTATTTCATTTGTTGTTCTCAAATGTACAATAAATTGTTAAAAAAAAAAACCATAAAAAAACCCCAGTGCCTTTTGGAATACTGATTGAGTATCCCTTACCTGAAATGCTTGGGACCAAAAGTATTTCAGATTTCAGATTTTTTTTTAATTTTGGAATATTTGCATTATGCATACTTTACCAGTTGATTATCCTAAATCTAGAAATCTTAAATGCTCCAGTGAGCATTTCCTTTGAGCATCATGTTATTGCTCATAAAATTTCTGATATTGGAGCATTTCATAGTTTGGATTTGGAATGTTCAACCTGTATAACCAACTCTAAATTTGAGAACTTCCTCTACTGTGTTCTCTGTTCATTTGGTTTATAGTTATATTATCTAGATGTTACATATTTTGGCCTAGAACTTATGTCTTTTAGTGGAACTTTCTTCTTTTTAACCTAGTATTTCAAAACCCTTAAAGACTTTATTTCTGTTCACTCATAAGTTATAGAATCACAGTGGTGGGTTTGTAAGTCCAAATCATGTAGTGAATCCACCACCCCCCCCCTCCCATTTTGTTGTTAGAGAACTAGGAGAGCCAGAGGAATTGAAGGACTTGTCCAACGTTATATAGTTACTTACATCAGGATGTAATTTTCTGATTGCTTGTATTTTCAGCAATACTAAATGATAACTGTATTATGTATTGTTTAATCTTGTATAGATAGTTCTTCTAAAATTATTTCTCAAAAAATTCATTTTTTAATTTATCATTTATCCATTAGCATTTCTTCTATTATTTTTATTTTCTGAAAAGGAAGTTTTTAACATATAAAGAAATTGCATTTTGTCATGCTAGGTAAAAACAGTAACAAATGATTACAAGGTATTCAGAAAATATATCACATTGTTAAGCAATAAGCAGCATTTAATTTAGGTACATCTGTGTGGTGTTTGAGAGATAGGGAAAATATGTTTAAAAAGGGTTTTCAAGAGTAAAAGTAGGAGCAGTGATATGTAGAGTAGCACCCCATATTTCAGAGCACAGGAAGGAAAGTGGCAGAGGTACTTCTTAAAAGGGGCACATTTTCTTTAGGTACATTTTCTCCTTTACTGTAATGACCTTTCAGATGTATACAAAACAGTAATTACATAAAATGCCCCACATTTCCCTGGTTTTCTTCCTAAGATAATGTTTAATATGTTCCTTTGTTAGTGGAAGAATTTTTTGTTTGTAACTTTTTCCTGATTTTCTTTCTAAAATAATGATAAATATGTTGCTTTGTTAGTGGAAAAAGTTTTTGTCTAGTAACTTTTTTATTATTTTTTTTTTGGTTTGGTAACTTTTTTTGGTTTGTTTACAAGTAGAATACATAATACATTGCAAAAGCATGGCAACCTCAGGCAAACACAAAGAAATGACACTGATCTGAAATACTATTAGAGTTAACTAAAATGCAAATTTTCTATGCACACTATTAGTACCATTATTTAGTTTAACAAAATTGGCAGATGAAAGTATATCTGGAATTTATTAACTTGTTTATATTATTTACTTTGATGTAAACATTTTTGTATAGGATTAAATATTCTTTTACGTGATTTTTAAATGACTACATATATATTTAAATGATAGCTTATTGGTGGTCATTTGAGTTTCTGATTTTCTCATTTATTATATAAGACACATTGTCTAGCTTTTAGATATAGCCATACTCATTTGCAAGATTATTTCTTTACTAAAACTTCCTAGAAGTAGAATTGCCTGCAAAGAATTTGCAGTGGTTATTTTTTACTGTGTCCCTGACTTTTAACCTTTCTCTATCCACTGAACATGCTTTTCATTCTTGGAACTTAACCTTCCCTTTCCCACATACCAACTATTTCTTTTTCTCATCATATCTTCTATATAATTCTTAGCTAGCATCTGTTTTGACCTATTAAAAAAAACTTGTGAATTGTTTTATTTACTTACATAGTTAAAGTTTAGGAAAGTCTGGAATGTTGCTCTTAGGTTGAAGACCAGTTGGGAAATGCAACTTGTTTTTTGTTTTTTTTTCCCTCTGATTATGAGGTATAATCGTTATTATTTCTACTAGCTTTCATTGTTTCTTAAATTTTAATACGAGTTAAATGGCAGGCTTCTAATAGAATGTGAATACCTTCAGTTTATTTGGTGATCACGTTCTGGTTAAACATTCAAGTTGTTTTTTTTTTGTTTTTTTTTTTCTGTTTTTATGTGACCATAGTGAGACATATTTGGAAATTTAAAAAAAAAAGAGTATTTCATTTATGTAATCAAACCATCTTTGTACTGTTATTTTAGATATTTAGCTTTTTAGATTCACATAGCTGATTACCATTTTAAATCAGTGATTTTTTTCAGAATGTATTGAACATCTTTGCTTTAATGGAATGCATGTATTTATTACTATGAATTCAATTTCTTTTGTTAATAGAGTCACTTTTACAGTACTATTCTTGAGGTCATTCACAGGGTATTGGGTACAAATTTATCATTGCACAAAGTGTTTTTGGAAATTTCTGTATACTCTTTAGTAAATTACTTATAATTGGGTTAAATGCTAGTAGGGTTTAAAATCTGATTTCTAAATGAATTCTCTATGAAGTGAAATTTTCATACGTAGAAACTTTTCATAAAATTCTTAAATTCATTTGTCATGTATTTTCATTTATAGTTTTCATATTCATTAACATATGTTGTTCCTTACCATTTACAGCTCAGAATTCTGCAAATGCAGATTTTGCAAACTTTGATGCATTTGGACAGTCTAGTGGTTCGAGTAATTTTGGAGGTTTCCCCACAGCAAGTCACTCTTCTTTTCAGCCCCAAACTACAGGTAGAACTTCTCTAGTATGGCGCTTAAATGTTTACTTTAAAAAACAAAACACTCTATTTGTATTTTTGAAAGATTACTCTAAACTTAAATTCTACAATTATCTGATTTTAAAATAGTTCTATCTTACAAAGCTCTGGGGAAACCTGAACTCTTTATATTTTTCTATGTTCATTTGTTTTTCTGCATTCTTTGGTATGTTGTCTAATTGACAACATCCATTCCCCTCCTTTTCCTGCACATGAATCTTTTTTAAACCTCCCATGTACAGGGACATTAAAGTACTAAAAGTTTTTTTAGGTTCATGGAACATATTGATTATACCTCTGAATAAAGGAATCTGATTGACTGCTTCCATAGAACTAAAAATGTAAATAATTTTCAGGGCAACGAGCTTGGGAAGTTTCTTAAAATGTTATTAGTCAAGAGTAGATTATTTAATGATGACTTTAATCAAACTTGGAAATAGCTTTCTGTGCAGGAATTGGTTTTTAAACATCAAGTACTCTCATAAACTGTACTGTTTTCAGAAACTCATTGAATCTTTATTTAGATCTTTGGGTGATTACTTTTCTTTCAACTTTTAACTCTGTGTATTGTCTTAAAGCTTTTTCTTTCAATTTTCTTTTCTTTTTTTCTTTAAAATTCATCATTTACATAATTTCTGGCTGTCCAGCATTTAGAATGCTTTCATCTAGCTGCAGTTTTGGTGAATTTACTTCAGCTTTTCCTCTCCAGGCTACTCACAGTAAGTTCTGTTGTCAAGTAGGCATCTTTCACTACTTTGTATGTTTTTGCTATATTTCATGGGTTTTTCCAATTATAGATTGTTAATCATTCTTTAATGATAACCCTTCATAAACTCTTACTTTTACCCTCCCTTTTCTATTACTAAACTCAAGAGTTAATTATAGAACATAATAGTATATAATAAAAGAGTGAGTTGGTTTAATAATTTTTAATAATTTGAAATAAAAATTCTTTATAGAAATGTTGAAAGTTCAGTATGTACTTTGTTTGCCAGCTACTTGTAACAGATCATCCTTTTAAAAATACAATTATATATTACTAGCTTTAATTGAAAACAACCAGTTTAATTCCTGAAAGAGATTTTATCAGTATATACTTGTTTTAGAATATCTAAAAAAATGATTGATAGAAAATGTTTGTGTTTTTTAAAAATAGCGGTGTGTCCATTCTGTGTTTAAAATATCTTTAAGTTTCTTTGCTATCACTTAAATATATAACTGTCTGGAAACTTAGACAGGTTATACATAATTATTTTGTACTTGCTGAAACCAAGGTTTAGAAATAAATAGTATCTCAAAAGTATAGGATCCATTGGTTTTAGTCTTTTGATAGTACTCTAAGGAAGTCTCTAGAATAAGAGCAGACTTCAGAGATTTAGCAGGGTATGTACCATAGTGATCCTTAGGTGAATTGTACTTTATAAATATAAGTCAAAGATTGCTATCATATATTATGGACTATAATTTTTATACCTGTGTGGTAGGTAGGGCATGATTTTACTGTAGACACCATGGTATTGTATGTACATTAAATTGTTATATGGAATTAAATAATAGCTCTTCAAGTAAAATAAGTTTAAATCTCAAGAACTGTCTTTTAAGAAATTGTGGATCAAAATAATACACCATCAAAATTGTTGATCCCTACTCCTGGGATTTGCTTAAACCATGTTGCTGTGAAGCTACAAAAACTTGAATCCTCCAAGTAGGATACTTTGTATCTTGGTTTGCAGTCTATTTAGGGAAAACTAATACAAGGTCATAGTATATAGCTGGATGTTCCATAAAGTAACTGAATCTCATACCAGGTAGTATGGAATTAACTCCCCTACAGGACATTCTTCACTATATGGTAAATAACAAACATAGAAACCTGTTATTTTACATGTTGCCAAGGCCTTTGAAAATCTAGTTTCATATATTCTAAAAAAGTCACAGTCACACTGCCATTTGCCAGTCATTGATTTTAAGGATGTAGGATTGCTAATAGGACACTTAATTTAGGAAAAAAGAATTATATAGTCAACTAAAGGATATTGGGAAAAGTTTAGAAATTTCAAGTGTTGTGTTTATTTTGTTACAGGTGGAAGTGCTGGATCAGTAAATGCTAATTTTGCTCATTTTGATAACTTCCCCAAATCCTCCAGTGCTGATTTTGGAACCTTCAATACTTCCCAGAGTCATCAGACAGCATCAGCTGTTAGTAAAGTTTCAACGAACAAAGCTGGTTTACAGACAGCGGACAAATATGCGGCACTTGCTAATTTAGACAATATCTTCAGTGCTGGGCAAGGTATTAAGCTTTAATCAAAACAAATACAAATTTGTATAATAAACAGTACTCTAAATTTGCTTGTATTTATTAAAGTCTGAGGATGTTATGCTTTTTTGGTTCTTGTATAGAAATTTTGTCCACACTAACATTTTGAGTAAAATATTTACTTGGCACATTTTGGACCTACAAAACTGAAGATGTAGAAAGTAATTTGTAAACTTTCAGTTTTAAAAGAAAACAATTGAGAAAATATTTTATTTTGTTTTAGAAAGCCTGCTTTACTACTCTGGCCATAAAAGGCCAAGAAATCTCATTAATGAAGCTGACTGCTAGAGGTTTATTTGGTGGTTTCTGTAATATATTAATGTTGAACTATTTTTGTTAACATCTTGATGTTTTTTCTTTTTTAAAATCCATGATTTTTATAGTATATTTTTATGCCTGGTTTTGGTCTTAAAGCCAGTAACCTCTAAAAATGTCTGTTTCAGTGGTGAACAGTGGGGCTCTGGTGTTAGACTGGATTCTGCATTTTTATTCCTGGGCCTGTTTTTCTTCTCACCAAAATGAGGATGATAATAGCATTGAACTCATGGAGTTGTGTTCTATACATTATTGCAAATAAGGCATTTAGAACAGTGCCCAGCACATAGTGCTCAGTAAATGTTTCCTATTATTACTATCTCTAATTTTTTTCATGGAGAACCTTGGGAAAATGATACTTATAATATGTTCACATTAAGTCCAGCACTTCATGACTTTCTTTGTTCATTTGAATGAGATCCACCTATCTGGGAGATATTATTGTAGCACTTTGATAATTTCTTCTTTATATATAATCTAGACATGTTGATACAGAATCTTAGTTTTTGTTAAGGAAACAGTATTGTCTTTACCACAGTGATATGTATAACAACTAATCTTGTCCAGCATTGTCTAGATTATTTATTAGATTAAGACTCTAGAATCCTGTCTGTTTATTCACTTAGCTCCAAATCAGTTTTTAGGTTTACCTGTGTTTCATGGCAAATCTGGTTGATAAGTTGAAAGTGTAACTTAAAATTTTTAGTGTAATTTGGTTTTGTTTGTTCACAGGTGGTGATCAGGGGAGTGGCTTTGGGACCACAGGTAAAGCTCCTGTTGGTTCTGTGGCTTCAGTTCCCAGTCAGGCAAGTGTATCTTCAGACAAGTATGCAGCCCTGGCAGAACTAGACAGCGTTTTCAGTTCTGCTGCCACCTCCAGTAATGCATATACTTCCACAAGTAATGCTAGCAGGTACCTTGTCTTAGCCAGCATTTCTGCTTTACCTTTTTTTTACCCTTTTTTTTGTCCACTCTAAATAATAATATGGTTAAATAATGACTATTTGGGGGCATAATTTAAACATTTTTTAATATTTTTGTTAATTTGAGGAAATTGCTAATTAAAATATAATCTTTAAATAATTGCCATAATTTTGTCTTTTCATTGAATCAGTTTTTGTTACTTTTCTTCCTTGAACATTATAATGTATTTAGGAATATGTACACATCTCAAATGAACAGTTACATACAGATTGTACTCAGTAGAGAAGCCATTTAGCAGTCTAATTATATGCTTTCAAGATACAGTTTTCAGTCACAAAGACTAAACAATGAAAGTGCCATGTTGTAGCTTTAGTTATAAATACACATTTTTAGAAATGTATGCACTCAAGCCCAGCATCAGTTCTATATCTCTTTAGTGTCATACTCATATTTATAAATAGGCACTTCTGTTAGTATGTTCAAATATATCTGTTATAAAGAAATTCTTGGCATTAGGAAGTCTAACACATTTTAAGGACATTACACTTTTAAAAAACTCTTCTAGTCTTAACTTTATTTTAGAGTTAAAGAAACAGACTCAGAAGTACGGGTAATTTACCTGTACAATGTTTTATTCATCTCTTTCCCATTCCTGTGGATTGTATCTGCTGCTTTTGTTTGTTATCTTAGTAGCTTGTTTTCCTTTAGCACCTTTTCTGGAGGGAAATGTTAGGATTGTAACACTAACTGCTTGGGCTCTCTGATAATTTTCTATATGCCAGATGGGAAAAATTGAATCCAGAGAAAAAAATTTGGGTGGTTTATATATTTTTTGCTTTATTAGTATTATCTACATTAGATATATAATAGTGGACTATAGCAAAGTGGCCAAAAACTCTGGAAACATTGATAAGTTGTAGATAACAAATGATTTATTGATATTACATTACAATACATTAGTGGTTTGTGAAGTGTGAGCCATGGGGGGGGGTTACCTGAGATCCTTTCAGGGGGTCTATTAGGTTAAAACTTTTTGCATAATAATTCTAAGATTATTTACATTTTCATTAATTGACATTTATATTGATGGCATAAAAACGATGGCATATAGAACTTGCTGATGCCTTAGCATGAATGAAGATAGTGGGACCAAACTGTACCGGTAGTCTTCTAATAGTCTAATAGTCATTATATTCTTCACGAGGACACATTCAGCTTTACTTACGAAAATTCTTTTTTTTTCTTTTTGAGACAGAGTCTCACTCTGTTTCCCAGGCTAGAGTGCCATGGCGTCAGCCTAGCTCACAGCAACCTCAAACTCCTGGGATCAAGCAATCGTTCTGCCTCAGCCTCCTGAGAAGCTGGGACTACAGGCATGTGCCACCATGCCTGGCTAATTTTTTTCTATATATTTTTAGTTGGCCAATTGATTTCTTTCTATTTTTAGTAGAGAAGGGGTCTCGCTCTTGCTCAGGCTGTTTTCTAACTCCTGACCTTGAGTAATTCTCCCACCCTGGCCTCCCAGAGTGCTAGGATTACACAGGCGTGAGCCACCACGCCCGGCCCACTTACGACTATTCCTGATTCAGTTTTTCTTTATGAATATTGTTGATGGGGCAGTAACAGTTTTTAATTTTATTAAATCTTTACCCTTAAATATGTCTTCTTAATTTTCTGTGTGTTGATATAGGAGCTATTATACCATGATATGTTCAGGATTACCTGTTTCCACATTTTATGGTTACCCTGTATATAGAGCACCTTTTTTTTTAAATATGAACTTTTTCAATATTTGTTTTCAGCAGTGTTTTTGGAACAGTGCCAGTGGGTGCTTCTGCACAGACACAGCCTGCTTCTTCAAATGTGCCTGCTCCATTTGGAGGTATGTGCTTCTGGTATAAATACTGGTTTTTACAAAGAACCCAGATATATATCATATAGCATTTTTTAGGGATACCAGAAGATGGTCAAAGCAATAATTTATTATCAGAAAGCTTAAATTTTCTATCTTGATAAATATAGTGAACAAATATTTTGAATCTCGAATACAAGATGTACTAGGATTTTATAGCGTATTTTATAATTTTTTAAAGCTACGCCTTCCACAAATCCATTTGTTGCTGCTGCTGGTCCTTCTGTGGCATCTTCTACAAATCCATTTCAGACCAATGCCAGAGGAGCAACAGGTAAGAAAAAAAGACAGATTATGGAACAGTAAGCTTTGGGGAAGGTATTTATCACAAAAAACACCATGTGAAGAACACCAAAAAATGTGTTCTCTTCCTTACTGAAGGGAATGGCAAATGGAGAGAAGAGTTTGTCCATAAAGGACAAGTTTATGGGAAGCTAAAAGTTTATAAAATCCTGGAATTAACAGTTGAGAGGGACCTTAGAAATTAACTAGATTTTTCTACCCTTCCAGTCAAAGCTTTTGTTTTTCAGGTAGGGAAGCCCAGACATGGAGATGAGACTTCTTAAAACTACATAGACAATTCATGACAGAAATAGGACTTGAACACAGTAATTTTGACTTATTTGGTGGTTTGGTTTCAAAAATTACTGGCTATAACTCATTCAGCCTTAATAGAATAATTTTATGAGAAGATATTTGTTTTTTCATGAGATTGTATCAGATGAATTTGTTTGTCACATGAGTTCTTAATAAATAGGTGTTTGTAGTGCATATCTTTTTCAAGGTGTTAACATTTTTTAAATTGTGAGAACCTGATGCAGTTTTGGTTATAATATTGAACGTTTTCTCTTTTGATAATTTTTTTCCCTATTCTCTTTACCCTTCTCCTCCCATTGATTAATACTGAAAGTCAGGCACATCTTTCTCATATCGTACTTCTTTGATTTTGTCTAATTAACCTGAACACCAGAGCTATTTGACACCACCCTGGGATGTCAACTAGTGCATGTGATATGGCTGTGTATATGTTACATCTAGAGTTTATAAGCTTTTTTGGTATATATATGACCCAATAATTTTAGAACTGAAGTTTAAACTCCACCTATAGCAAACATTGATATGAAATCTTGAGAGAGTACATGCTTCTATGTAACATTACAATTAAACTATTAAGAATTAGTGATTATTATAAATAGTTTTTGTCATTGATAAGATTAAAAATTATAATCAGGAATTTGAACTGTACTATTTTCCTTTTCACATAATTGTCTTTAGTCATAATTTGTTGGTCTCTAGTAATAAGTGTTTAATTAAGTATTTGAATTTTACACCAAATTTAACTTTTTAAAAATGGTGTGTTTTAATTTGAGTGTACCTAATCAGTGATTGTTTTAAATTTCCATTCATACTATTTCTTCATCAGATGTGATCTGTGCAACATTTCTATTTCTTACTATATTATTTTAATTTAGTGGAATGAATTTGTGAAATGTATCATGATACAACACGTTTTATACATTGTCTCATTTAATTCTCAACTCTCATCGAATGTATGTCTAAATCACTGTATGACAGATGAGCGACCTGAGGCTCAGAAAAGTTAAGTGGACGTGTTTTGACTATAGCCAGCCAAACTTGTCTTCAAATTCTGATTCAATATTTACTTGCTGGGTGACCCTAAGAAAGCTTTTTGTCTTTTATTTTAACGAATAGGGTAAGGATGATGATGGAGGGTGTTCTAATATTTGATGAGTGGTAAAGTTGTTTGCAAGATACTATTGAGATGTTTATAGTTATAACCCCATTTAACAACTAAGAAATGGAAACTCAAATTGTACCTTGACTGAGGTTAATTGTTTGGACCTAATTTCTCTGAGCCTGTTGTTCTTATCTATAGAATTTGAAAAAATAATCTCTTGGTGGCAGGATTGTTGTGAAATTTTATGATGCAAATCACTCTGTGTGGTCTTTACATTACAGTATATACTCACTAAATTGAACCTGTTATTTTCCTCTCATGACTACCTCTGAGTTGGTTCTGTCATTAGATTAAAGGGCTTTTTTTGGTTATTTTCTTTAGAGTATGAAAGTCTTTTAAAAGTTAAGGTTCTATATAGGATATAAAATAACAGATATGTATAATATATGCTCAACTGATATAAAATAATAGCAAAGTTTATCCAAAAGATAAATCCATGTCCACTTATTTTTATTTCAAGGTAAAATATTTTGTCTGTTATAAGCCATTTGGAATTTATCACATTGATTACCTTTATTAGGTTATTGTTGAATTGACTAAAGCAAGGTAAATGGTAACTGCATATGTTTCTATTGAAGCCAAAATATAAATAATACTTTGACAAATGCTTAAGAATTTTCAATGGTTTATATCATAAAAGTTAATATTCTTTAGAATTTTTTTGTTGTCCTCAAATATGCCTATATTGTAGAATTACATGTTGAGGTAACCTTTAAAAGGGGTATTGCATAATAGTTCTGTGGAAATTTGAAAGTTTTATTGTTATATTTAACTCTTAAAATACATGTTCAAATAATCATTTCTTTCCTGGATTTATTAAACTTTGCAGTGTTAACATTTTTTTCCCATATTACATAGGATCCTTCATTATGATATTTAGCATTCTTTATTTGCCCCCCCATCCTTAAATATAATTAATGGAAGTAAAATAATTTTCAATTTATTAGGAAATGTTCTTATAACTCTTAAGTCTCCTATGTTAACTGAGTGAATAGCCTTTATTTGCTAGCATTTAGTTTAATGAATATATGGTTTTAAAGATTTATTTTCTTCCCAAGGAGATAAATTTATAAAATACAGAGCTGAAAGATTTCATAGATAGCATCTAGCTGCCACATCCTTGTTTTCTTACCTAGGTAGAAACTGATTTGCAAAGATGTTAATGGATTTGCCTGAGAGTTCAAAATTAAGTAATGGCTGATCTGACCTAAGTACCCAGAATTCTTCTAAACCAGCACTATTTCCATTCCAGTACAGTTGCCTCTAAATTTATAATTTAATTTTACATTGATGAAACATATACAAATTAGTGTTATATACTATTCCTTGTTTATATCTAAATATTCAGTAGGCTTACCTCACCTGTGTACTGCACTCTGGAAATCAGGATTGGTACAAAAAAGGAATTGGGGGTAGGTGATCAAAACCAAAGAAAAAAATTAAATAGAAAGTTACATTGGGCTATGTAAGACATATTTTGTTTATAGAATTGTTGAATTACTCTCTCTGTGTTCCTCACTCTCAATTTATTCTTCATATTTAGATATCTCTAACATTTAATAATCTGCAGTTGGTACTTTTAGTAGCCAAAAGTGGAAATTGTCAACTTGGCAATAAAAAAAGAGACAGGATATTTGTAAAAATTAACACAACAAAAAATTAAACTTCATAGCAGTCTGGAGAAAATAATTGCAAATCACATATTTGGTAAGGGACTTGTATTCAGAATATATAAGCAATTCTTACAACTCAGTAATAAAAAGGCAACCCAATTAAAAATGGGCAAAAGATTTGAATTTTCTCCAAGAAGGTATACAGACGGTCAATAAAAGATAGACAATAACAAGTATTAGTGAGGAGGTAGAGAAGTTAGAAACCTTATGTATATTGCTTGTGGAAAGGTAAAATGAGACAACTCCTTTGGCAGATAATTTGGTAGTTTCTCAGAAAGGTCAATCTAGAGTTACCATATGACCTAGCAGTTCCACTATTAGGAATATACCCAAGAGGAATGAAAACACACTTCCACACAAGAACTTAGACACAAATGTTCATAGCAGCATTATTCATAATAGCCAAAGAGTAGAAACAACCCGAACATCCATCAGCTGATAAAACCAAATGTTGAATAGCCATACAGTACAATATTAATAGATAATAAAAAGTAAAAGTATTGATACATACTACAACATGGATGGACCTTGAAAACATTATCTTAAGTAAAAGAAGCTAGCCATGAAAGGCCACATATTTATGGTTCTATTTGTATGAAAGGTCTAGAATAGGCAAATCTATAGAGAAAAAGTAGCTTGGTGGTTGCCAGGGCCTGGGGTGGGGGTAGTGGTGGGGCAGCATGGGGAAGTGACAGCTGATAGGTATAGATTGCTTTTGGGAGTGGTGGTGAAAATATTCTAAAATTAGATTGTGATGATGGTGGTATAGCCCTGTGAATATATTTTAAAAAATGAATTCTGTACTTTAAATGGATGAATTATGTGGTATGTGAATGATAATAAAAGGATATTGAGGTCTATAAAAAAAATTTTATAGCAGTCCAAGACCAGATCTTAGGTGGCATCTTTGTTGCACAGTGAAGTACAATGGTTGATATTGGCTAATACTCACTGTTGACTAAAAGTCAGTTTTTGCCAATGTATTTTATGGACCATGTCTCCAGGCATGTGTTAGCTAACATCTCTAGATGTTAGCAGTGTTCCTTGGAAAAGGATTCTGTGTCAAAATAGATATGGTAAATCTGGACCAAACACAATTTAACCAATTTTATTAATACAGGACTTCTCAGATCCTTTAAAGTTCTCTGAGAAAGGAGATAAATGTAAAATGATTAAACTTATTATAGAACTCTTCCCCCTTAATTAACATTTTCTTAAATTTAGAATACTGTGACATCTTTTTAACTTAGCGAGAAAAATTCATTCATTGAATGTTTACTATATAGCACTTTAATTCATTGCTAACATTAAAATTTCACAGCAGCTTTATGAAGTAGATACTGTTAGCCCTGTCATTCTATCCCCCATTTGTAAATGCAGAAACTGAGGCTTATAGACATTAAGTAACATCATGCAACTAGAAAATGACAGAACCAAGACTCAGAACCACATAATCTCTTAATCACTCTGTTTCCCAAATGTATACTTCTTTAAAAAGTGTTCTAATTTAAAGTGCATGGAAATATATTTTAGAAATAATCCCATTTCCGATCATTAAAACAAAAAAAGGTTCTGGTATTTAACAACCTGTTTACTTTCTGTTAACTTCATATACTTGTATGTAGCCTCTCTACCCTCAAATATGCCAGGTAAGATCTGCACAAAATGCATTTTTCTTTCTTTTTTTTCAGCCGTTATAGTTAAAGCTGAAAATACTGCTCACCTTTCTAATGATCTAGTGTATTTAATAGTTTTCCCCTTGTAATAAATTAGTTCACTTGAGTTATCTTTAGTTCTAGTTAATGTGCTGACCTGTAAATAAAAAAAAAATCTAGCAATTGTTCAGGTGCTCTCTTCCAAGACTTGCGGTTTTAATGCTAAATATGGATGCTAGATAATTTTAGATGATCCTATGCATAGCAGTTTTGGGTGTAGCTCATGATGCCTGTAAAGCCTTTTTTATGAATATAGTTGTGTCTTCACATAAAAAAAAAGTGCTTATTTTAAAAAATGGATTTGATCAGTGTTTCTTCATTTGTTATTTAATATTCTAAACTCCATTTATTTCGAACAGTGTAAATTTACATCATGAATATGAAATAAAAAGGCTCATTTTGTGAATGTTTTTATTATGTATTTTTATGCTACCTGCTTGGCAAGAGTACATTCTAATTTTAGAACTTTTAAATGAAACAAATTGACTTTGATTTTAACAATAGTTATCCATAAATTAATTGACATTGGTCTCTTTATGGCTTTCCATAAGGCCTTTCTGGAGCAATGCATTCTCAAGTGTTTCCTCACGCTCATTTTGGTAGGTGGCCACAACTAATATCTAGATTTGTGTGGCAATTTGTCTACCTGCTTGTGGAAGCTTCTGCTACTGTTCTGGATCCCTGCATGTGGAATTAAGTTTTTTCCATGTTTTCAAATGGAGTGGGCATGGATGTGTGGCATTGGGTAAATTACATTGTATTCAAAATTACATGGAAATTTTTTGTAGTGATTTATGTGTTAATGCTGAAAAGCATTATTGCTTACCTCCATGGTCACATTAGAATGTTAGTAGCTGTTTTGGTTCTTTTTCTTCAGTTTGAATTCATAGTTCTTTGATGCCTTTTTGATATACCAAACCATTTTACCACATTATTCCATGGAGTTTGGTTTTGCTTAACTGTATCCAAGTTTTGCTTTTTTTAGTGCTTTCTTAAGATGATTTGTCAAAGTTGTGTCAGTGCATTGTCGTCTGTTATGAAACCCTCCTGTTTCCCTTGCAGTGTGCTTATTCTTTAATTCACTTGCTTCCCAGTGGCCTGTTTTTCCTTTTTGCCTCATCAATAATATAAAAATAATTTTTTAAAATGTGATATTCTAATTATTTTGTTGAGCAAAATTGCCTTGTTTATAAACATTAGGACTATGAGTATGACTTTGGACAACATCTATAACTTGTTTTTCAGTTTTTGAAAATTTAGAGACATAATTCTATGTAACATTTTTAGTATTTAATTTCTATACCTTAAGTCAGTTAACAAGATGGTAAATTTTTTTAAATCAGGAAATTCAGTGAATTAAGGCTTTTTGATAACATCATGCTAAAAATATTTTATTATGTAATTGCCAGTGGTCTATATTTAAACCAACATTATTGACTCTTACTTCACTGAGACCTTTCCTAGAACATATAGTTGGAGGGTTCTGTTTTTAATATTCACTAGCAGTAAATAATGTACTGTTCTGCTGCATGTGTTTCCATAATGCATATTAATTCATAAGTGTTTAGTAAATGGGGGAGTGATGGCAGCATACTACATATATATGTAGCAGAGGTTTACACACAGATTTCCCCCACCATGGTAATGTTCCATCCACCAAGTATTAGCAGCTAGACATGGCAAGCCAAGGAGGAGTTCAGTAGGACTGAAAACTGTGTCCATTTATCCTGCATTCTTTGTCTTATCTAAGAATGCTCATTTCACTCTTTTCTAATATTTATGCATTTTGCACTAATTTTTATAGATCAACAGTCCTAACCTTCCATCAACCTTCTTCCAAAGCTGTCTTCATTTACATCTTTCAGAAGAGGGTGGGAATCCATATATTTCTTTTGAAATTGATTTAATGGAAACTTAACCTATCCTTTTAATTGTGTTAGTGTTTTTAGCAGACTCAGTCTCTCTCTCTCCCCCTTCCCTCTCCCCCCTCCCTCTTCCCCCCTCCCCTTTCTCCCCTCTCTCCTGCTCTCTCTCCCCTCCTTCCTCCTCTCTCCCCCTTCCCTCTCCCCCTTCCCTCTCCCCCCATTCCCTTCCCTTTCCTTTCCTTTGACAGAGTCTCACTCTGTTCCCCAGGGTAGAGTGCCATGGTGTCAGCCTAGCTCACAGCAATCTCAAACTCCTGGGCTCAAACAATCCTCTGCCTCAGCCTCCCGAGTAGCTGGGACTACAGGCATGCACCACCATGCCCGGCTAATTTTATATATATATATATATGTGTGTGTGTGTGTGTGTATATGTAGTTGGCCAATTAATTTCTTTCTATTTTTATAGTAGAGACAGGGGTCTCGCTCTAGCTCAGGCTTGTTTCGAACTCCTGACCTTGAACAATCTGCCCACCTCAGCCTCCCAGAGTGCTAGGATTACAGGCGTGAGCCACCGCACTTGGCTTTATGTTTCTTATTGTAGATTTAACAGCAACTCACTTTTGCACAGCACCTTACGGTTTCCTCTGGGCATCCCTCCATCATAGCACTTGATGTGTTAGATTGAAATGACCTACTTGTGTGACTATTGCTCCAGCTTGATCATAGGCTCCATGAAGGCAGGAACTGACCTATTCATGTTTGTATTCCCGGTTCCTAGCATAAGCTCTAGCATGTAATAGACCTTCAATATATCACCTCACTGACCTTTTAATTTATATTACTTAACAATTTTGAGAGTTAGATTTTATTTACATATTTGTTCAGCAGATATTTATTGAATACCCGGTTTGTCCAGACATTATTGCAAGTGCTGAGGATATAACAGTAAATATAACAGAAAAATACTCTTTTGCTTAAAGAGCTTACATTCTTACTAGAGGGGATAGAAATAAACAATAGTCATAGTAAATAAATAATTTTTATAGTATGCTTGAATGTGATGAGTGCTATGGGAAAATGAGGGCAGATGAGTGGAATAAGGAATGTGGAAAAAGGGTATTGACTAAATATAGAGGAAGTGAGATTTGAGCGATAATTTGAAGGAGGTCAAGTGGAATGATAATAATAGGAGATGAAATGAGTCAGATAAAAAAGGATAAATCTTATAGAATTTTATAAAAACTCTGAGGTTTACTCTGAATAAAATTCTGAACCTCTGGAGGGTTTGGGGCAATGGTATGATATGATTTCACTTATATTTTGAAAGAATTACTTTGACTTAATGTTGGGAATAGAATATAAGTGGTCAAATGGAAACCAGTTAGAAGTAATCCAGGTGGGAGAAGATAGTGGCTAAATCAAAGTGTTATCATTGTAGGCAATTAGAAATGATTAGATTCTAGACATATTTAAAGATGCCTTGATGGATAAATTACTCAGTATGAAATTTAGAGAAAAATCAAGGTGGATTCCAACACTTCTGGTGTTAAGCACTGACTAGGTAATATATATATATATGTGTATATATATATATATATTCTAATTTAATCTTTATTATAGCACTATGAGTAAGATATTTTTATTCCCCTTTTACAGATTAGAAAACTGGGACCCAGAGCAGTTAGGAGATTTTTCCAAAATCTTTAAAATTAGTAAGTGGCAGAGATAGGATTCAAATCTATTTTTGTGTAGCCTTGAGCATTATGTTCTTTCTAATATATAAGAGCAGAATAGATGGTCTCTCATAAAATTTTAACTGTAGCTTTATGCCACAGTTTTGGGCTTTCAATTTTCACATGTTGTTTGACTCAGTGTCATCCTTCCAGAATTGAAATTTAATATAAAAAGTAGTTGCAAACTGGAAAAATTCCTGGAGTGCTTGGCATAAGCAAATGTAAAATTCCTAAATGGTCATGCCCTTGATAATGACAACACAGAGATTCTTACAGCTAAAGCCCCAATGTAGGTGAGCTTAAAAACCCAAAATTATAAAACACATAAAGAAACAACCTACTGTGGGTGGAAGTGAGCATACTTAATAAACACAAGGATTAATCTCCTAGAACTTCTAAAGAGAAGATTAAAAACACACGTTTTAATGATTAAAGACACAAAGAAGGATTTAAAAAATCAAGAAAAGATATCATTAAAAAAGGATCAGGAAAAAGGAGGGAAAAAATGGTGGAGTAGGGGTGCCCTAGGGAGGGGAGGGGGGCAGAAAGAGGAGGAGGAGGGAGGGAGGG